CCTCGCACTGGTCACAGGCGTAGGGCTGCTCAGCAGTGTGGGTTTTCTGGTGGCTCATCAGGTTTGACTTCTGCACAAAGCCCCTCCCACACTCTCCACACTTGTAGGGCCGCTCACCAGTGTGGATCTGATGGTGCCTGGACAGGCTGCCTCTGAGCATGAACCTCTTCCCGCACTCCTCACATTTGTAGGGCCACTCACCCATGTGGGTCCCCTGGTGAGTGATCAGGTTAGACTTCTGTATAAAGCCCTTCCCACACTCTGTACATTTGTAGGGCCGCTCGTCTGTGTGGATGCGCTGGTGCTTCACCAGGTTATATGTCTTTGCAAAGCCCTTCCCACACTCCCCACACTTGTAGGGCCGCTCACCGGTGTGGGAACGCTGGTGCTGGATCAGGATGAACTTGTGCACAAATCCCTTCCCGCACTCCCCGCACTTGTAGCGCCGCTCAGCGCTGTGGATGCGCTGGTGTTTGGTCAGGTCGCTGCTGTACTTGAAGGCCGTCCCGCACTTCTCACACTTAAAGGGCCGCTCACCATTGTGTATCCGCTGGTGACTGAACAGGCTGGAGCTCTGTGCAAAGCACTTCCCGCACTCCCCACACTTGTAGGGCTGCTCACCAGTGTGGTGGCGCTGGTGTTTGGTCAGGTCCTTGCTGTATTTGAAGCTCTTCTCGCACTCCCCACACTTGTAGGGCCGCTCACCAGTGTGTATCCGCTGGTGACTGATCAGGCTGGAGCTCTGTGCAAAGCTCTTCCCACACTCCCCACACTTGAAGGGCCGCTCACTGCTGTGGGTCCACTGGTGTGTGATCAGTTGGGACCTCTGCACAAAGCTCTTCTCACACTCCCCACACTTGAAAGGCCGCTCATTGCTGTGGATCCGCTGGTGTGTGATCAGTTGGGACCTCTGCACAAAGCTCTTCCCGCACTCCTCACACTTGTAGGGCCGCTCACTGCTGTGGATCCGCTGGTGTGTGACCAGCTGGGACCTCTGCACAAAGCTCTTCCCGCACTCCTCACACTTGTAGGGCCGCTCACTGCGGGGGAGCCGCTGGGGTGGGACGAGCTGGGACCTCTGCACAAAGCCCTTCCCGCACTCCCCACACTTGTAGGGCCGCTCACCGGTGTGGATGCGCTGGTGACTGATCAGGATGGAGCTCTGTGCAAAGCTCTTCCCGCAGTCCCCACACTTGAAAGGCCGCTCATTGCTGTGGATCCGCTGGTGTATGACCAGTTGGGACCTCTGCACAAAGCTCTTCCCACACTCCTCACACTTGTAGGGCCGCTCACTGCTGTGGGTCCACTGGTGACTCCTCAGGGTTGACTTCTGCACAAAGCCCTTCCCGCACTCCCCGCACTTGTAGGGCCGCTCACCAGTGTGGATGCGCTGGTGTTTGGTCAGACTGCTGCTGCATTTGAAGGCCATCCCGCACTTCCTACACTTGTAGGGCCGCTCACCAGTGTGGATGCGCTGGTGGTGGATCAGGGTCATGTTTTTCTTAAACGTCTTCCCGCACTCTTTGCACTGGTGGACTTTTTTAGGGCCATGAGCCTGCTGGTGCTGGGTCAGGTTGCCCTTGTTCGTGAAGATTCTGCTGCACTCAGGGCACTTGTAGAGCTTCTCCTCG